CCAATAATGTGATCGATCAAACTGCCTCAAAATCCGTGCAGAACAGATTTTAAGCCCAATTAAAGGTGTGCTCGTGGTGCAATCTTTTGGAGGTCCTAGGACATGAGGTTTGACCATTTGGGTGTCATTTGTGAGCTACCTATATAAGGAAATTAGCTATTTTTGGTAGTGAGGTTAGTTAGTTGGACACCTTTGGCAAGAGATATACATACTTTGGGAAATTCTCTCTCCATTTCTAGGGTTTCTACCAGGAAGATGAATTCAACCATGAAGTGAGCCCTTGAGGGTTGCAAGAAAACAACCATGAGTGGCTTGATCATTCTCATGAGGCTAGGAGTAGCCTTAGGCTTGCCTTCTGAACTCTAGACCTTTGTTATTTTTGGGGATTCTTGTTGTAAATTATGTATTGACCTTGTAATTAAATAAATCTTGTGATTTGTATGGTTTAAATCTTTTAATTAATCTTCCAATTTTATTTACATGTCTATGTGTGATGAAATGGATGATTATGTTTGTACACTAGATTTTATAAGTTTGATGCATGTCTATGTGTATTGGAATTGTGGAACTAGTCATGGTCATATATGGTGCTTATTGGATGCACTTGTGAATTATTTGATGGATTATGCTTATGTTTGATGGATTGTTCTACACCCTTAGCTTAATTAGTTTAATTCCCTTGTCAATAGTGTAATTTTAGTGTTGTTGCCTTTAAATTCCTAGATAGGTAGACAATCCATACTTGTATTTGATACTCCATTCTTATGATTGCAAAATTTACATTTCTCTAGATTGTCGTGTGCTACAATTGTTGGTTTATTGAATGGTTAATGCCTTAACTTGATGATTTGTACTACACCTTAGCTTGAGTAGACAAGTCACACTTGTTATTGTCATCCATACTCATTGTTTCAATTGGTAGCGCACACACTCTGACACACACACACATACACACACTTGTTTTACAATATTGAATCCCCTTAAATTAACAAAGGCTAGTTGTTTAGAGGAAAAGCTTAGTGGTGATCCCTATGCCCTAAGATATTTCTCTCATTCTCTACACCCTAATCACTTTAGTTTGCTTTCTTTTGCATGCTTTCAATTTAATTGTAGCTTAATTAAACCAACTGACCCACTCTTTTGATAATTCGATCGACCTACTAATCCGACTTTAATTCTGAATACGCTCCCTAATCCCTTGGGACGATCCCTTCTCACTTCATACTACATAGTATAAGTGATAAATGTTACATGATCCCCCTAAATTTCTAAATGTGGTGGCCGCTTTTCATGCATCTTTTGTAGACGCCTCCGAATGCACACCACGAAATGTATGTAGATATACATATATATGTTTGTGTGTGTGTGTGTGTGTGTGTGTGTGTGTGTGTGTGTGTGTGTGTGATTGCAGAAAGAGAAAACCAAATGCAAACAGGTATCAAAGAATTGCTGGCCTGTGATACCCCTCGATTTTAGAGCCACAGGTGTTCAAGTCTAAGCACAGATCCGAGGAATACCAAACAATTAATATTTAAATGAACACAGAATACAAAATGAAATAATAAATAAATAATAAAGACTGAAAAGATATCTAAAATATAATCTTTAAAATTAAATGATTAAAATCCAATAATCCAAAACCTCCATAAATATTCTCTAATAATTAAACAACTCGGGATTCCATCTAGTGGACTCCTATTAAAGTCCCAAACTAAAAGGTAAACAACAAAAATAAAATCTAAAGCTAAACCATGAAGAGAAATCCTACGTCGTCGAAAGAGTGAGCGACAGTCTCTGCTTAACACGAATAAGCTCTACGCCTAGAACTGACGAATACCTGAAAAATAAGAGTGGGTCAGGCCCACGAGCAAGTTCTATACTACTACAATCTAAACAGAGACTCGATACGCATGTACATCCTAAACAACTCAACAATAGCTATATAGTCCGTACATATATATATCCACACTAAGGGACTCTCACTGGACTACAAAGGGGGTCTCAACCTGAATATAGGCAGCATGTAAAACGCACCCGAAGTGGGCATGTGTACCTAAGCCTAATAGGGTATACCTTTACCATCATAGCCAACTATGTATCACAATGCATATACGCTCCCTAACTGTCGTTCCTGGGACTCAAGCTCATATCGAGGTACCATAGTCATATATATAAGAATCTTATCCTATCCATCCATAAGAAATCTAGTTAGTTATTCAACTTATTCAACTGATCTGACTTAAATATAAGTAGGATTTTATTTTATAATCCATTCCTTTATTCCTGATTATGTAAGACTTAGTGTTTTGAGCTAATCCATCCCTAGTATGCCACCGTCCCTTACTGGTGCATATAATCCATAATCCAACAATTGATAATACAAATAATATATGTAAACATCAGTTGTTCCATACTAAGCATGATAGAATTTTGTAAATTAACAGACTTAGTTGATACCACTCCACAAAATCCAATAATTGACAATACAGTATATGTAAACATCAATTAATCTTTAATAAGCATAATTGAAATATATAAATTAGCATGCTTATTTTCTACCACTGTGGCATGATTAAAACTATATCAAACATAAATCAATTGCTAATTTACAGGGAAGCAAATTTAATCATCCGCACCCAAGCTTAATATGCAAATTTATTTAAGAACTTCATATTGTTCCATATACTAATTTCCTATGATTTATTATGTATTATCAGGCTATTGGAGTTTTAATATAGCCTTAAACATCACTGAAAACCCCCAGTATAGCTCCCAACTGAACCCAGAACTTCAAAATCCAAGACCAGAATCAAGTTTTGTCAAAAGAGCCAAAAAAAAGGGGGAAGAGCCGCCTCCCCCACAAGGGTAGCCGGCTCCCCCGTTAGGGGAGCTACCTCCTTGACCTATAGAGCCGGTTCCCCCTTATGGGGAGCAGCCTCTTTGAGAGGGGAGCCACTTCCCCTCAAAATGGAGCCGGCTCTCCTCCTGTTTTCCCTCTTTGTGTCCTCTCCGGCGACATCCCGACCCTCTGTCCTCCATTGCTAAGGTCTCTACCAGTAAATACTAGGTCCCAATGTGTTCCAGATATATTTAAATTCATTATGCGTTAATCAACATCAATTAAAACAAGTATATATGCAAGAAAACTTAAAATCAAACAATTACCAATTCATGAATACTCATACTGTTTTAATCGAATCTAACATGCGAACTAGATTAATTTAACGTTTAATTTATTCCTAGAATTGTTTTAGGCATGCAAAGAACATAGGTCAAAAGGAGAGAGTTAGATATAAAACTTGCCTTTAGGTTTCAGTTTGAAACCTTGCACCGTCGTCTCTGAATTTTTCAACCACTGCCGACTACCGTAAAACCTCCTTGTGGAGAAAAAAAACCCACCAGTCACAACACACCACGTGGCAGCGAAAAGCAGCCCACAACCAAACTAAGATAACTAGGAGCCCACAATTAGTTGGAGGCCCAACAGAAGAAGCCTTATGCAAGTACCAGTTCAGCCCAATTAAAGTGAAGGAAGTTTCACTTAACATAAAGGCTGAATGGATGGCCCAGTCTTAACAAAGCCCGAATTTCATAACGTTTGCCATAATGATGTATGCACAATCAGTAGGCATAATTACCCACGTTTGGGAATAAAAGCCAAGAAACGGCTCCATGTAAGTCTCTGAGAAAAGCTTATAAATAAAGCCTGAATGAGAATGAAGAGGTATCGAATTCCCATCATTGTTCTTTTGTTCAGAAATTGTTTTTGTTTTACTGATATTCCATTTCAATTTATTTCTTTAAGTGCTCAGGTGTAAGAATTTGCACCTACACTTTGGCGCCGTCTGTGGGAATTCGATACAAAAATTCATTTTCTCTACTACTTACAACCGGCTCAAATCCAGAATGCCAATAGGACCAGACATCGCACAACCGCAACAACTGGAGACCATGTAGAAAATACGTGAAGAGATGCAAGTACAACTTGACGTCCTTCGACAAGCCAACGAAGCCAATGCTGAACAGATCAACGCACTAAGACGAGCTTAGGAAACCAACATAGTGCAAATCAATACCTTACGTGAGGAAAATGAAAGACTTCGGGGAGATGCTCTATGGGATGATTATTCAATCGACATACCGCTCGAACGGGGCCCGATCGACCCACCGCCCGAACGAGGCCAGATTGACCTACCATCCGAACGGCGTCCGATCGACCTACCACCCGAACGGCATCCGATCAACTTACCGCCTAAACAACTGAATAAGAATCCTCCTCCGGAGCCAGGCCCTGCGATCCTCAATAACCCTCCCCTCCAACAGAGGGTCCCACGGCAACAACTCAATGAAACATTGGATGACGTCGACGATACAGTGAGCCAATCCCGCATCATTGGAAACTTAAGCATGGGAGGACCCCGAATCGTCAGGGTACACCCATCAGACGATGCTAATTCAGGCAGGAATGAAATATAAATCCCAGCAGCTGACCAACCCTACTCAGGGAGTGACTTTATCATAAGGCTCCGAAAGGAAATGGACAAGCGAATCAAAAGGCTGAAGGCCCAAACACCCGAGGACAAGGCAAGGGAATTCACTGCGTCAATAGTGAAGACTCATTTTACCGATGAGATAGAACAAGTCGTGAGGCCCAGGAAGTTCGTGATGCCAAAGTTCATCAAATTCAATGGAATTGCAGATCCTCTCCAGCATCTAAACCATTACACTCAGGAAATGACACTGGAGGCGCACAATGATCTGTTCAAGTGCAAAATATTCCCATCCAGTCTGACAGGGGTGGCCCTAGAGTGGTTCAAAACCGCCCATATAAGTCAATTCTAAACTTTGAATCATTGTGCGCGGCTTTTCTATCCCAGTACTGCGGAAACAAAAAACAGAAAAAAAAAAAAAAAAAAAAAAAAAAAAAAACCATCTCCAGTCTTTTCACAATCCGATAGATGAAAGAGGAGAGCTTACAAGCCTTCCTCACTTGATTCAATATGGAGTCCTCTAGCATCCTAGATTGCAACCAGGATATGACCATAGAGGCGTTCAAGATAGCCATGGTACAAGGCTCACGTTTTCACTCTTCTCTGGTAAAGAAAACTCCGACTAACATGTCCGAGCTGAATTCGCGAGCACAAAACTATATCAGGCTCGAAGAAAACGAAGTGACCAGGCAGCAAAAGGCAACTTTAGTCACTATGGAGAGCAGACCCAAAGAACGACCAAGCACGTCAAGAGTCCATCGTGAACCTCTAAGCATCGAAGAAAGAGCCCCGGAGAAAAAATCTCGAACGGCTGAAAGGACCACACCACTCAAAGTAACGCTGGCCAGACTGTATCAAGAGACTAAGGCAAGAAACATCTTCTAAATCCTACCTCCGATCAGACAACCAATGGAGCAGACAGACCAAAGTAAGCACTGTGCGTTTCATAGTGATTTTGGCCATTTAACCAATGATTGCAGAAGCTTGAGAAGGTAGGTGGAGGCATTAATAGCCAAAGGGGAATTGGCAGACTATTTGATTAACCCGGGACAGCAGAGGCAGCATGAGCGAACCCGGGCAACTCTAAAGGCTGCAACAGAAAATTATCATGTCCAAGTAATCAATACGATTCATAGTTGTACAGAGGAGGACGAACAACCAGAGAATTCTTACAAAATTCAGCTTAAGCAAACCCATAAGTTACGAAAGATTAGCGATATCAATGCTATAGGCTACAGACCGAACCCAACACAGGTTTCTTTTCAAAAGGAAGATCTCAGAAGGGTACAACACCCACACGAAGACACATTAGTGATTAGCTTGCTAGTAGCTAATTGCTTGGTCAGAAGAGTATTCATTGACCTAGGCAATAGTGCAAACATTATAACAAAGTGGACTTCCGACCAGTTGAAACTGGCTGTAGATCAAATTCGCCCCACCAGGAACCCCCTGGTAGGGTTTGACGGTAGAAGAGTGGAACCCATAGATGTAATCACACTGTCAGTCACGGCATCCAAAAAATCCTTGAAAGAGAATTTTGTAATGCTGGATATTCATCCAACCTACAATTTGCTAATGGGCCGGGGGTGAATCCACCGTATGGAAGGGATCCCATCAACTCTACATCAAGTTATGAGGTGCGTTAGTCCAAACGGAAGAGAGGTTATCGATATTTGGGGGGATCAAGTAACAACAAAAGAGTGCTATCACACAACGATCTATCCAACTGATAAGAGCAAACAAATGTTGAAATGGCAATTACAGGGCTCTTCTTCTCCTAGGAGAAGGGAGGGACCAGAAGAGGAGTGCTCAACTGAAGAGCCCTTTGAGGCCGTGCAGATACTCATAGGGGATAAGCACAAGCTAACCTATGTAGGGACACTCTAATCAGCCCAGGAGAAGCAGGAGCTGATAGAGATTTTAAGGCAAAATGCCGACATCTTTGCGTGGAATCACTGGAATATGCCAAGAATTAACCCACGGATAGCCTGTCATAGCCTGAACGTGGACCCAAGCTATCACCCAGTGAAGCAGAAACAGAGAAGATTCTCCCCCAAAAGAAATAAAATCATTGCTGAAGAGGTCAACCGGCTTTTAGAAGCTGGGTTTATCAAAGAAGTCCGATATCCCCAATGGCTGTCAAATGTAGTGGTCGTCCAAAAGAAAAATGGTAAATAGAGAGTATGCATCGACTTCACCAACCTGAACAAAGCTTACCTGAAGGATAGCTTCCCGCTTCCCAAAATTGATCAGATAGTGGATGCTACAACCTGGTATGAAAAGCTAACTTTCCTTGATGCTTATTCAGGTTACAACCAGATCCCAATGAACCCTTCGGACGAACAGAAGACTTCTTTCATTACCGAATGAGGGACCTACTGTTATAAGGTCATGCCCTTTAGGTTGAAAAATACGGGGGCTACTTATCAGCGGTTAATCAACAAAATGTTCGAAAAGCAGATCGGTCGAACGGTCGAAGCTTACATAGATGATATGGTTGTCAAAAGCAACAACAAGGAAGATCATCGGCTACACTTGCAAGATGTGTTTAATACTCTCAAAGGCAACAAAATGATGTTAAATCCAACAAAATGGTCATTCGAAGTATCCTCGGGCCAGTTCCTAGGCCACCTGGTAAACAAGAGGGGAATAGAACCAAGTTCCACCTAGTTGGCAAAACTACTGCAAAGCAAGGAGCCCCGAACCATGAAAGAAGTTCAGGTCCTCACCGAGAGAGTAACAGCCCTCAGTCGTTTCATATCCAAATTGTCAAACAAATGTAAACCTTTCTTTGATGCAATCAAAGCAAGAAAAGGGGAAATTTGAGGAATGGAACAACGAGAAGCTCTCGCAAAACTCAAAGAGTACATGGCAAGCCCCCCAATTTTATCTGCCCCAGTTCCCGAAGAATCGTTGTACCTCTATCTGGCAGTATCTCAATCAACAACCTGTTCAGCTCTAACAAGAAAAGTAGGAAAAAATAGCACCCGGTCTTCTACTCCAGTAAGGTCATGACTAACGCAGAAAGAAGGTACTCGACGGCAGAAAAAATCATCCTTGCACTAGTCCAGGCTAAAAGAAAAGTTCAACATTACTTCGAGGCTCATCGGATAATAGTCCCCACGACGCATCCGATCAAAGCAATTCTCAATAAGCTAGATCTGTCAGGTCAGATCACCAAATGGGCAATTGAGCTAAGTTCCTTCGACATTCGGTACGAGCCACGCACCGCAAAGAAGGGGCAAGTAGTTGCAGATTTTTTCTTGGATACTGATCCAGAAGAAGAACAGCAAGTCACAGAAAACTCGTGCTAGGAATTATACGTCGATGGTTCATCCAACCAGAACGGAGCTGGGGTAGGTTTGGAAGTAAGAACTCCTGAGGGGACCAAGCTCTAACAGTCAATCGGGCTAGAGTTCCCAACTATGAACAATGAAGCAGAGTATGAAGCACTACTGGTAGGGCTTAGACTGGCCAAAGAACTCCAAGTAAGACACCTCAGGGTTTATAGTGATTCACAGTTTATAGTCAAGCAGGTAATAGGAGAGTATGTCCCCAAAGAAGGTAGAATATGTGCGTACCGAAAAGAAGTTGAGAAACTAGCAAAATACTTTAACTTAATCAAGTTTTAATAAATCCTAAGGCAAGAAAACCCAGTAGCCCATCGACTGGCTGGCGCAGCGTCCATGGCGGACGAATCATTAACTCGAGTCATCCCCATTGATGCCCTAGATACACCAAGCATTACAAGAGGAAAGCAAGTGTTCGTTATACTATGGGAACCAAGCTGGATAGATCCCATACAGGCGTACATTACAAGAGGGGAACTCCTTGAGTCCAAGGAAGTAACCCGGCAACTAAGACTAAAAGCTGCCAAATATTCATTAATAGAAGGACAGCTCTTCAGGAGATCGCATTCTGGACCCTACCTCAAATGCCTAACCCCCACAGAATCTAGGGAAGTGTTAAGGAAACTGCACGAAAGAGAATGCAGGAACCATTCAGGAGGAAGGTCGCTAGCTCATAAAGCCCTAACTCAGGGCTACTTCTAGCCCTACATGGCAAGGGAGCAGAAGAGTACTCCCAGAGATGCGACAAGTGCCAAAGGTACGCCCCCCTTATCCGTCAGCCCCCAAAAGAAATACACACCATAAGCAGCCCATGGCCATTCGCCCAATAAGGAATGGACGTAGTGGGACCCCTACTGATGGCTGCATCACAAAAAAGTTATGTTTTATTGGCCACTGACTACTTCACCAAATGGGTGGAAGCAGAAGCATATGCGAGCGTAACTAACATTCAAATGAAAAAGTTCATTTGGAATAATCTAATATGCAAATTCAGAATCCCAAAGTCCATCATTATGGACAATGGACCAAACCTGGATAATCGAAGCACTCAGTGTTTCTTCGACAAATACGGGGTCAGCCATATATCATCCACAAGGCAACGGGCAAGCAGAAATAACTAACAGAACCATCTTCACTTGCATTAAAAAAAAGCTTAAAGATAAAAAAGGAAAATGGTTGGATGAGTTGCCAAATGTCCTATCGACATACAGAACCACTCCAAGGCGCCCCATCGGTGAAACTCCATTCTCTTTAGCTTACGGAACCAAAGCTTTAATTCCCACCGAATTGGTGGCACCCACCATACGGAGTTTAACGTGGGAACAAAGGTCAAATAATTAGCTTCTGGAGCATAATCTGGATCTTTTGGAAGAGAAAAGAGAAGCGACTGCTATTCGACTAGCAGCCTATCAATAGAAGATAACAAGTAGCTACAATAAAAGAGACAGAAGAAGAAGCTTCAATCCGGGAGATTTGATACTTCATAAATCGAAAAAGTATGTCGGCAAATTGGAACCCAACTGGGAAGGCCCATACTGGATCTCATACGTAATTGGAAAGGGAGCTTACAGACTCCAACACCTGGATGGCACAGAAATAGTCAAACCAAGGAATGCAATGAATTGGAAAAGGTACTTTTAATAAAGTAATTGTATGATACTTTCTGGTACTTTACTTCAGAATAAATAAAGCTGCTGCCTGTCTTTTTTGAAAGTCCCACATCGAGTAAAAACAAAACTTTTGGTTGTTATTTAAAGTAAAATAACACAAAAACAGTGGAGCGGACCCCCTGATGGTAGGCAATCCATAATGGGACCTACCATTAGGGGTCTCCACTTCACACTTTTTAAATATTACATGAACAAATAAGACTTCTTCACCCACAAGAAATGCTGTCCCACATCATTTAAAAAATAAAACCTTAGCATTTTCTTATAAGGTTACTCGCTTACCTACTTGACAGTGTGTGGGACCAATTGACAATGGGAACCCATTTATGATATCGAAATGCCCCATTGTCAGAGGTCTCCTCACACTCCCAACATTTTTTCAAACAAAAAGGTGTTTTCGTGTTTATAGAAGTTAAGGTCCTACATCAATAAAAAAAGGAAAAGATTCCTTTATTATTAAAGTATGACCGGCTGGGTATATAATCAGCAGGTGGAGGCCCTGAATTATGAAACCCATGGATAGTCACAGCCCATTATCGGAGGGTCCATAATTCAGAGCCTTCTCTGCTTTCTTTTGGGATGGATCGCTTCCTTTCAAGTCGTTACCTCACTTTAAACAATATATATATATATATATATATATATATATATATATATATATATATATATATATATATACATGTGCGTGTTTTCTATAAAACGAAATCGTTTGATTTTAGCACCAATGGGGGAACTCCCTTATGAAAAGACCCGACACTTGTTTTGACCACAAAAGCCCAGTGAAAAGGGGTCAACCCACATCAAAGTGCTCAAGTCCTAAAAAGCCGAACGGCCCCAAGAGCCAATCACAAAATAGGCGAAGGCCCCAAGAGCCTAACGCCCGAACGGGCTTGACCAATGAAACTGCTCAAGTCCTAAAAAGTCGAACGGCCCCAAGAGCCAATCACAAAATAGGCGAAGGCCCCAAGAGCCTAACACCTTAACGAGTTTGACCAGTGAAACTGCTCAAGTCCTAAAAAGTCGAACTGCCCTAAAAGCCGATCGCAAAATAAACGAAGGCCCCAAGAGCCTAATGCCCAAATGGGCTTGACCAGTGAAACTGCTCAAGTCCTAAAAAGCCGAACAGCCCCAAGAGCCTATCACAAAATAGGCGAAGGCTCCAAAAGCCTAACGCCTTAATGAGCTTGACTAATGAAACTGCTCAAGTCCTAAAAAGCCGAACGGCCCCAAGAACCGATCGCAAAATAAGCGAAGGCCCCAAGAGCCTAACGCCCAAACGGGCTTGACCTATGAAACTGCTCAAGTCCTAAAAAACCGAACGGCCCCAAGAGCCGATCGTAAAATAGGCGAAAGCCCCAAGAGTCTGACGCCCGAACGAGCTTGACCAGTGAAACTGCTTAAGTCCTAAAAAGCCGAACGGCCCCAAGAGCCGATCGCAAAATAGGCGAAGGCCCCAAGAGCCTAACGCCTGAACGGGCTTGACCAGTGAAACTGCTCAAGTCCTAAAAAACTGAACTGCCAAAATAGGCGAAGGCCCCAAGAGCCTAATGCCCGAACGGGCTAAAAACAGAACGACCCCAATAGCCAATCGCAGAATAGGCGAAGGTCATAAGAGCCTAACATCCGATCATAATTAATCAGAAAAATAATCAAGTGCAAAAAGCCAAAGTGGCAATAAGAACCGATCACAAAATAGACAAATGCATCAAGATCAAATCATAAGCAAGAACACAAGTAAAAGCGATCTCAGAGATTACTAAAAGAAACTTCTATGTTCTCTAAAGTGGGGGGGGGGGGGGGGGGGGGGGGGGGGGGGTTTCTACAACAAAGGTAAGGCATACCCAACACCTCAAAAAAAAAAAAAAAAAAAAAAAAAAAAAAAAAAAAAAAAAAAAAAGAGCTACGCAGGGTCATTCTCAGGCTCAGCTCCACCTTCCGTATTAAATCTCTGTGTAAAAGCATCAACTAACTCTACCCTGGCTGGAGTAGAGGAAGGGGCATCAAGCGACAGAGCAGGTAACCCCTAAGAGCCCGAAGGATAATGGAGAAGAGACGGAATCTCAGCTGCCAACTTACCCTTCAGCAGAGCAGCAAATTCAATCTCTCTAGGGCCAGCCGAGGGTTCGGCATATTCACCAACAATCAAGAGTCCCTGTTCGGCATCATGCTCATCAGCATCACCATAATCTCTCTCCTCAAAAGGAAACTGCCCCTAAGCAAAACCAAGCCTGAAGCCTTTGGCATAGCAGAGATTTGCAATCTGGGAAAAATGGTTAAACATCTCTAAACACCCATCCTTGCAGGTTTGAATAAGAGAGTTCGCCTTCTCAAGCTGTAAGTCAAGCTCAACCGCTTTGTGCTCAAATTCCTTAGCTCTCTTGTCAAAGTACTCAATTGACTTAAGCTGCTGAACCTTCTATCTCTTCTCCTCGATGAGGGAAGCCTCCAAAACACTTACCCTCTTTTGAAGGGCAGTAGACTGGTTCGCCTGAAGGGAGTCAGCTGACAGCTTCTTCATCAAGAAAGAGCTCTGTGCAAAAATAACAGAGAATTGTCAAAAAAAGACAAACCTAAGTAAAAAGGAGGTAGAGGAATGAGGAAGAATTACCTCCATTATGGACTTAGGAGTAAGAGATAACAAATCGTCAACACTCATTTGTTGTTGTAATATTTCATCTCTGGGAGGCCACCTCCCTCTGGCTAAACCCATCAACGTCTCCGAGTCTTCAGCTCCAGAGTCACCGATGGTGATAGGGGACCCATCAGCTTTCATCATTTCAGGGAACTACTTCTCAGTAAACGCCACAAAATCACCCCCAGCAATATCAGCAGTGCCAGGAATTAGGGCACTTTTACCTCTAAAGGCCCCAGCCATAAGCTTAGGGTGCTTTGAAAGAGAATCATCCTTCGCTGAGGGACGTTTAGTCCCTAACTGAACCCATTTAAGCTTTTGAGAAGAAGAAAGCTTGCTCACCTCAACAAAGAGGTTCTTTCTTTCTTGCAACAACTTAGCAGGTGCCTCCCTCTCCTTCTTTGTCATACGAGGTTTTGGAGGAGGAAGTTCCATCGTTGATTGAGAAAGGGAAAGAGGGGCAAGCGATAAAAGGATAGCCTCAGAATCAGAAACCTCAAGATCAATGGGCTTCTGAAGATTTTGAGCGATTACTGGAGAATCCTTCGAGATCGTCTCAATAAGAGAAGAAGAGGGAAGGACCTTGGCAGGAAGAATGTCGCTCCAGACTCTTTCCTACAAATAAGCAAGACGACTATCTGCAAATTTCGAAGAGAAAAAGTCAGTTTTGTGACCCAAGAAGTCATATATATATAAAAAATGCTTTACGACACAGACGAAGCAAAAAGACTCGCCCGAATCATCGAATGCGGGAACGAATGGGCCATGAAAGCTCAATCGAATGAATAAATCCCGAGTAGACGAAGATCGCCATGCCCCTCCAACCTTAACAATTTTGTCTTTCCATTCCTTGTCAGAAGTATTAAAGTGAGAGAAAAGAGTTCTACCTAGTCTAGAATGAAGGTGGAATCTACCCTCTCCGCCTTTCAATCTATCAAGTGAGTAACAAAATAGAAGATCGGCAAGATTCAAGGTCAAACCTCGAACCCTGTTCAAAGCAAAAAGACATGAGAGAATACAGAAGAAATTAGGGTTAACTTGAAGAGGAGCCAGATTCAACACCGACAAAACCCGAAGGCCAAAAGGATTAAGGGGAAATCGAAAGGCAGGAAAATGCAAAGCTGAGAAGAGCATCTTGCCTTCTTCCAAACCCTCACCTATATTAAAATTCAAATCATAATCGTACTCCTTAAGGGTAACGTCAGAAGGAACGCAATTCTTCTTTCTCAACTAAGAAATTGAAAAAGACTTCCTTTCTACAATGTCTGCAGGGAGGATTATAGGACCCTCGACATAGTCACTCAGACTCGCCGCCAAAGTTCCCGACTCGGAATCAGACATATGAACACTATGAGTTCGTTCACTACTTTCTTGACTCATAATGTAAGAAAGATGGAATAAGAAGAAAGACTAACCTCAACAGATGGAAGGAGATGTCGAAGCAGCAATCGGACTCTCGCCGAAACTCGGGAACAAAACCACAGATGCAGATGTCCAAATAACAAAAACCCAATATATAAGCAGAAGGAGGCAAGTAACGAAGGGTAAGCACGAGGCCCTAAAATCAGCAGCACAAATGGTAATGACAAGCAGTAACAGCCACGAAAACTTCTCCACTTCCCGAAAGCAGTTACAATTCCTTATATGAATCAAATTCATAAAAGGAATCGGGGGCAAAGTGTGCAGGGAAAAAACCCCACCAGTCACAACACACCACGTGGCAACGAAAAGCAACCCACAACCAAACTAAGATAACTAGGAGACCACAATCAATTGGAGGCCCAACAGAAGAAGCCTTATGCACGTACCAGGTCAACCCAATTAAAGTGAAAGAAGTTTCACTTAACATAAAGACTACATGGATGGCCCAGTCTTAACAAAGCCCGAATTCCATAACGTTTGCCATAATGATGTATGCACGATCAGTAAGCATAATTACCCATGTTTAGGAATAAAAGCCGAGAAACGGCTCCATGTAAGTCTCTGAGAAAAGCTTATAAATAGAATCTAAATGAGAATGAAGAGGCATCGAAGTTCCATCATTGCTCTTCTGTTCAGAAATTGTTTTTGTTTTATTGATATTCTGTGCACTCCATTTCAATTTATTTCTTTAAGTGCTCGGGTGTAAGAATTTGCACCTACACTCCTACTACTCTGGTTCAATCCCACAAGCAATCCCTTCCTTCCTCCTTGGTCCGACCTTTAATCCACGGCCGAAAACCTAACTAATTTTCTCTGTTTACTCTCAAGTCTCTCTCTCTGTTCGTGAATAGGGTTTTCAATCTTAGACAAACGTATACTGTTGTATTTATAGCCCAAATTACTTTAACCTAATTCTTATATTCCAAGAGAAGGAAAAGAAAAAGAAACCAATTGAATTAACAAAGTCGGCTATCCCGTGAAAAATACAAAACCCTAATATTATTATTAACGAAAACAACTAATTAAATTTCCACATAATACATTAAAGAAAACAAATAATCAAATTTAAATCATTTAACAATTAAAAAAATAAGTCAATTAAATAAAACAAATAATGTAATTAACTAAATTAAATAAAAACAATTAAACAAATAATTCAATTACATAAAAATTATTAAACAATTAATTCAATTAAAAAAAGACAACAATTAAACAAATAGGCAAATAAGCAAATAAGCAAATAAAACAATTACTTAAAATGCCGAGACTATCCTTTTAAAATTAGGGGTATTATACGGCCGAATAATTTTTTTAAAAAAAAAATTATTTAATAACAAATAAGAAAAAAAAAATTATTTTTATATTTAAAATAAAATAAGGTAAGTTTTTTTTTTTTTTTTTTTGTATTAATAAAAATAAAATTATAGTTAAAAAAAAATACAAAAAATAATAATTGAATACTTCACCAGCACAATACTAATAGTTTGATAAGATTTTTTAAAAAAATATTAATGAATTAAAAATTTCTGAATTTGCATTTTTTTTTTCACCTTCCAATTTTTTTTTTCTTTCCTTCCAAATCTTTGATATATATATATGTGTGTGTGTGTGTGTGTGTGTGTGTGTGTGATTGAAGAGAATTTTTTTTTTTTGGGATAACCCAGGGTATTTGAAATTTTGCTCTGACTAATCCTCGAGGACCCAGGAAGGGCGCCTCCCCACCCCGAGCCAGGTAAGTCGCTGAGTATGACAGCGAAGGTGTTATCCCAAGTTGTCGTAGGCTCCTAGTGGGAATCGAACCCCAGAGTGCTAGTAAACACCCAAGTTTTTGAAGAGAGAATTGATAAAGAGAGAAACAATATATATATATATATATATATATATATATATATATATATCTATACATGTTACTGAAGAGACTATAAATGGTAATAGCAGTGAGGTGGTCTCTGCTTTTCCTCCCCTTCTCTCCGATTTGCTCTCCACCAGCCCCGGCTTGTGTTAAGAATTACTTCCATTTACACATATTGTCTTAGAGTTTTATTAGGAGTGATTTTAAAATAAAAATTTATTTAATAACAAAAAAAAAAAAAAAAAAAAAGTTTTTTTTTTGACTTTTATATTTAAAATAAAATAAGGTAAGTTTTATACTTTTGTATTAATAAAAATAAAATTAGAGTTGAAAAAACATAAAAATTAATAATTGAATATTTCAATGACAATAATGTTTCAAATTAGAAAAAATAAATAAATAAATAAAAAAAATTTGAACGGGTCAACCTGTCCACATTCAGGCTCAAAGAGCTCAAATTTTTTGACATCGGGCTAGCCCAACCCAACTTCAGGCTCAAATTTTTTGACATCGGACTAGCCCAACCCAACTTCAGGTTGAGGTTGGATTGAGACCAAGCTGAGCTTGGCCAACCCAACTTGTAGCATGCTTACGAATAAAATCGGGTGTGTAACATGCATTTATATTATATCTAAGCAATTTTTTTTTTATTTTTTAGGGTAACTTATTGACACCTTGGCCAGCTCAAAACCCAGGTCATGAAAATAAAATATAAAGGGTAAGCTTTCATATTAAAGTAGCATTAGCATAACAGGAGGTGGACATTGAAGGCTGAAACTCCAGCCCATACAAAGGAGTGGCTTGGAAAGAAAACAGCTTAAATTTCTGCTAATAAATTAAGCAGAAGCAACTAGTTGTCTGTTTTTACCGGTTAAAAGCAGAAGCAAAAAGGGAAACAAAAAGAGACGCTATTCCCCCAACCATAGAACACAGAGCTCAAAAGAAAATATTAAAAAGTCACAACTCGACATTTCTCAGAGCCCCTTGGTAACATCCGTACCATGTTAATCTCAGACGTCCTTCTATTAATCTTAGACGACCTTTTATTAATACAAGGACGAATCATCAATTTCTCTAAAACTTTAGAATTCTTCAAGAAATACTCTGCCATTTTCAGCTCATCACTTTTCCCTTCAAACCGCATAATTTTAATCTCCTTTAAGTGACACAGCAGACAAGAAGGCACGTTCTTAGGTTGATACCAACTGCATGTTGTCTGGTTTTCCTCAAATCTATCTTGCAATAGTGCTCCCTGATCAGAAAAGAAATATAAATTGCAACAACTCTCATACAATAATTAATCAAATGGAGTTTGAGTGTTTTACCCCAAAAACAAGCTTAAGCTGTTCCAGTTGTGGCGAGCTTTCAAGAAAATCCAGCAGCGATTTCCATCTAACATTCTTGCAACTAATCTCCAAACAAGTCAAATGATCGAACTTTGGCAGCAGAGACCTGCACAACTGAAGGGTCATCATACAAAAAGAAAACGATGTCAATAAAAATTTGAAGCAAGCCAAACACAGTCCAAAATGTACACATGAGCATAAAAAACAAAATAGAAGAAATCATCAGAAATTGGCAAGCAGAGCTGAGCGATCTGACCTTCATTGAATCATCAGATAAACGAAGCCACTGAACTTTAGATATTCCTTCAAACAATTCTTCTACATGTTCTTCCGCAGAACCATCATGGTCAGGGTGGCCTCTCAGCACAAACCCAATGTCGGCATTGACAAGGGCATTTAATTTGTTCATTGAATAGCCTTTTGTTACATGGTCATGATATTGAAGATCTTGAAGATTTGGCGTATCAAGTACAAGCTTGTAGCCAACCTTAGACCAGCAACTTATAACTAAACTCTTGAGAGCAGGAGCAGAAATGTGAAACATACTAATATTTTTGAAATAGCATGTTTTTATGGACAACTCTTCAAGCAGAGGGCAGCCAGAAAAGAGTCTATTAATTGAGACATCATCCAAAAATTCAAGTTCTTCAATAAGGAGGATTTTGACATTCTGCAGACAAACCAAAGTAGGGACATTGAGAACAAATCTACCAACCAGTTCAAGTACCTCAAGACTTGTACAAGTAAAAACCTCATGAGCCAGCCCACTGTAGTCTTCGATTTGAAAGAAAAGATGAAGTTCACGCAAATTGCGTGCTAGTGCAGTAGAAACCAAAAAATTCAGAATTGAAACACCATAATTCTGAGTACATCTGAGGCGGAATGTATGCAAAAATGATGTATGGCATATGAAAACTCGGTTCACAAAGTTTATGAAGCTCATTTCGACTGAACGAAGTTTTCGTTTGGTACGCTTCCGAGGATTTATAGGTTCGACTAGCAACCCATCATCGAAGTCCATGTTAGTGACTGCGGTCCAGAGATACTTCCATCTGGTTGATAAGACACCGGTTGCCACTGCATCCTTTATCGGAAGGAAAGAGAGGATATGGCTGATGAGACTGCTTGGTAAGTTGCTAATTATGTCTTCATTTTCCACTTTCTTAAAACGCCTCCCACGTTTATAAACAGAACGCATCACTTCTGTCATGTTCCTAATGAAGGAAACAAATATATAATAAAATACTGAAAAGATGGCAGTAAACAATGTGAAGAATTTGTAGAGCTATATGTCTATATATAAAGAGAGTTTTGATTTTGCAGTGCTATTTAGCTATCCATTGGGTACCCATGAGAACAATCATTGTGGTGGGTTGTTTTGCTAATTTTCATAATTGAATTAAAGTTCGAAGCAGATAAGTGAGAAGGCACTCAAAGGATTCACTTTCCAAGAGCAACTAAATTGAAGCACACTAATTTGAGTAACATATTATGTATTTATTTTTTGTTGCAATAGATTGAATCCATTCTTCCTATTAACTCAATAACTCATTGTCTCACAAGTTCTTTTTGGCATTGATGCATGCAGGAATAGAATCTAATACTAAAATCCAGATTCACAAGAATTTAACCCAATTCAGTCACTCAATCAAAAGTTATATGTAGGTTTCTATACAGAGGAGGATACTAAACACCCACAAACATTCATAAAAATTGTTACAAAAACCACAAACCACAAACATTTCTTGGTTTGTATTAGAATTACAAAAACTCTCAACCAAACATTCATGAAAATTTTAAAATTATTAGGGTTAAGTTAAATAGCATGGATATTTGATTGAGACTAGGTCTCTCTTTCGGAGTGGTAGAAATAAAGAAATAATAGAGAAGAAAGTGAGAGAACTAGAAGATGTATACCTTGAACGATTCCAGCGACGACTATTCTCCCTTGTTGGCAGTGAAAAGTTTGTGAGGGAGTAGTGATATGAGGAAGGCAGAGAGGAAGGGTTTGGAAGAGGAGGGGTTGGAACGTAGGTTAGCATGTAGTATTTACTCCGAAAAACAATACCCAGTAAAAGCCAAAATCTTATAATAGATCACGGTATCAGTCAAAGTTTTACACTTTCTTTTGACCAAATTATCATCTCGTATAATTTCATTTTATGGTATTTTAAATTGATTTTTTATAGTGAAATTACTTTAATGTTGACAATATAAAAATAGAATTTGTGCATTAGTTTCTTAGTTCAAATTATGCTAATTTAAATAGATTGACCCAGACAAGGCTATTGCTATTTCCTTATGAAGGCTTTTTAGTGAATCCAAAGTCATTGTTGCCAGAATCAAAATGGAAGGAAAAAGAGCTTGGTGAACTCTACAATCCGTCAAACCCGCAGCTATTCAAACCCTGTTTACTCCCAATTTCGTCATCTTAATCGTATTGATACGTGTTTGCTATAAACCTTCTTTGATCTGCAGAAAATCCCAACAAATGGTGAGTTTTGTTGCAAAATCAACCTCTTCAATCTTCCGTATATTGAAACCTCCTACTGCATGAGGCAAGGTGACCACACAACACTTCAGCTGAGCTATCTTCCTAAGTTCAATCTTCCATAAAAACTTTAAAAATCTTCTCTCCAATTGGATTTTACAGTCTCAAGGGATCTTGAAGACAAATAACCAATGATAAAGAAAGGAAAAAATATGCTAGTTTAAATGCAGAAGAGTGATGCGGGAGGCCTTGTAATAGCATTAGTCATAATATAAGAGTAATGCACCAATTGGAAGTGGAAAAGCCCATTAGTTTCTGGCGGGAGAAGGAAATATTAAGGGAAAAAAATGAGATTAAAGGTGATGAAATAAATTTTCATAGTAAATATTCTTGTCTCCCGCTATTTATGACCGAACTAATTTTGTCGCAAATATAATAATATATTACCATGAGTAGAAAAGCCCATGGATTTTAGGTGGAAGGGGAAACAAGTAAAGGATACATAATTCAAATTTTGTAGTAAATACACTTCTTTTTACTACAAACCTAATTCCGTCGAAAAAAATATTATAGTAAAAAATTAGAGTAAAGGTAACGGAATTAAATTTTCGTGATAAGTACTCTAACATAGACTTACAAAAGAGTAATGCTCCTAAGAGGACCCTCCTACTAAAGGGAAAATATATAATAAAATTACTGAAAAAGATGGCAGTGAACAATGCGAAGAACTTGCAGAGTTATATGTCTATAGATATAGTTTTAACTGTGGAACACTATTTAGCGATCCATTGGGTACTCCAGAAGAACATTGATTGTGGTAAATTGATTGTGGTGGGTTGTTTTGCTAATTTTCAAAATTGAATTAAAAGTGGAACCAGAAAGCACTTAGAGGATTCACTTTCCAAGAACCACTAAATTGAAGCACATAAATTTGGCTAAGTAATTGGGCATCTTCCTTTAATCTACTGGGTGATGCAAGTGAATAGGGAGGTGTTATTTGCTCTCCAAAAAGTACCTCACGCGCTCCACTCATATTTGTTGATAAATAAAATGATAAAAATAACCTTCAACTACACCTTTTATCACCCTCTCTTCTAATCCCTTCCCTTTCTACTCCACCTGAATCAATTTTATCTCTCTCCTAAGAAATTAAATTATATTAAACCAAATAAAAATCCGTGTCATATCAGAGAGATAAGTTGGAATTCAGATAAAACTGGGATGAAGTTGAAACAAATAAAGATAATTAGAGAGAGAGAGAGAGAGGAGGAGAAAACCCCATCAGGTATGCATCACCATGAAGATAAGGAAAGAAAGGAACACAAATAGATTTAGGGCTAGTATAAAGCTCAAAGGAGTTTGATATAATATTTTGCAGTTTACTATCTATACAACTCTTTTAATTTATTCAAAACAATGAATTTTATGTTCAATGGAAGGTTTGGGGCTATATTAGTCATTTCAGCTATAAAAGAATAGAAGTAGAGAATCCGGATCTTTTTTGGAGAGTGAATATCATCCCTCAAGTGAATATGAGGAAGTTTATCTCATTAATAAATGTCCACTATTGTCATTAAAAAGTTGTGTTGGATTCACAAATAAAATAAAATAAAAAATGAACAAACAAATAATGGAAAGGGAGCTGCTATTCGCACTCCTTGGATCTCCTCTCGCGCTCCAAATTTAATAATACAACCAAAGTGCCCTTTTTTTCCTTCTGCATCAACTATGATAGTCCATCTACTGTGATATCCTCTCTTATCCCTACTTCTAACTTCCATCTATTGTGCTCTATTGTGATCTCTCTTTCTCTTCTAATACCAGTTCTCTCTCTCTCTCTCTCTCTCTCCACTAACCATGAAGACAAATCATTGTTGTCTTGTTTCTCTTCTTCATATATCCTTTCTATGAATAAATTATTTTAAGATGTGTAACCTCTCTACTCCTTGAGAAGATATTATTTTCTGACAACCAAAAGTATGCGTGTTAATGTGTGTTAATGTCTGAGATATAAAAAGACAACAAAGATCATGATTGCCTTCTCTTTCCATGAACACAACATAGTTGCGATAGATTGGAACCCTAGAATGTCCACTATGCATTAAAATGTCCATATAAGCATCAGTGAGCTGATCTTTGACAAAAAACCGAAATATACAATCCCCTCCTGGGTTATGCAGAAATGCCAACCTTACCAGGTAATTGAAGCCCAAATCCACTCCGAGTATCCGTGTAATATTGAACGGCTTTATTTAAGGTTTTATTGTCACCCATGGACCTGGCCATCCGGTAGACCACCTCCAGTGCAGTATAAGCCGGTTAATCAGGCCTGTTTTTACATCTCTCGTTAGTTGTTTGAAACATGCCTGAATCGTTGATTGGGGAGATGTAGCTTCCTCCAACGATCACTGAGCATAGTGTCTCGAGTGCAGTGTCATTGCCAAGATCAATAGGTTCAATGTTTCAAGCATTATTGTTGAATAGTTAAGTTAATTTATTTCCTAGTAATTTAGGGGAAAAAATTAAATTATTCCTAGTAACTCTAGAAGTTCAATGCAGTGAGTTCGTTTGCTTTCATTACATTTAGGTGCAAGGATTGGAAGAGGAACAGAGAGAACACATCACAAGAGGAAATAAACGAAAAAGGCAACTCATAGTTTCAAAAACAAAGAAGAGGGCAATTTAGTCTTTTCATTTTACTAGCGAAAGGAGTTAGAGTGCGAGAGGAGATTGTTGGAGCACAAATATCAGCTCCCAAATGGAAATTAAATAATATATTATGATTAAATCCGAGCACTTTTGGTCTGATAAAAACACCAGATTAAAACTTGGAAACATAAGATTATTATGAAGATAACAAAGAGATACAATCTGATAATAAATACATGGAATTCACTAGCCCAAAGGTGAGGAGCATGGGCATTGACACATGCAGCTCCTCTTTATGTATATTAATTGTACAAGTTCTCACTTAAATGAATGTAGAATAAACCACATGACTTTTCACTAGAATTTTGTGAAATCAAAGCCTAAGGCATTGAGAGAAAAGGAAAGGGAAAGAAATTAAGAAACAGAGAGAAGAAAAACAAAGTAAAAATTTAATTTCAACAATACGTATCAATTACAAATTTTACTTTGATAATTAAAAACTATCCAAACAAATTAAATTTGCTACAACATCAAACTTACTTCTCTAACAGAGTCAAAACCCTTTTACCATATATCAATCCCATCTTTATTCAACAATCTCAAAGATACACACTACTCTAAAATGTATCACCATATATTCAGTTGTTCCAGAAATCGATGCACCATTTGCAAGACTAGTACTCACACTCGCACAATATATATATATATATATATATATAACTGAATGGATGGAACAATAAATAAAGAAAACTTGAATAAACAAGCATGCAGTTGATTTGAGTATAATTTTACAGGAAAAGCACTAAACCCTAAATTAGCATAGAAAATTAACAATGAGAGATAAAGGAGTGAAAACTTACTCAACTGTAGAAGGTCGCAGGCGACGTCGTTTGTCACTTGTGGATTCAACAGACCACACGATTAAGCTTCAACCTACTTGAGAACTTGAGAGGACTCAGAGGGGTGTGACCATGTATATATGGGCAAATTAATAGGGGAGAGCAGTCTCTAGGCACTTGATCACGACTTGGACCCCCGATCAAAAGTGTGAAGGGGTTTCTGAGTCACTGTGGGTGGAACTCGGCGGCCGGTGAATGCGAGGATGGTGGTGGAGGAGATAAATTAAGGTGGGTGTTAGGGTGGAGACATGTGATGGACGGTGAGAGCTAGGGTTTGTTAAGTGGGAAGGGTTGGAGAAGATGGTGAGGGAATTGATGGACGGTGCGTGAGAATTGGTGAAGGAGGTGACGAAGAAGGTGGTAGAGGTGGGTGGGGCGGCGAAGAGAACTATGGAGAAATGTGGGTGTTCATGGAAGAGACAGATCCGAGACATTTCTATCCCTACCATATCATCTACTACTTATACGACTGTAAAGATTTTTTTATGGACCATACTTGAGTCGACAAATGGTGTCTTCACCAGTGATGTGGTTGAATAAATAAAAGGGAAAATTACATATAAATGGAGTTAAAGTTACATATTTACTTAGAGATTGAGTCAAAGTTCCATATTTCTCTAAAATGGATTGCTGAGGTGGCACATGGTTTTTTACTGTTTAGAAAATTGTGGTGCCTAAAATGTCCTTCCCTAACAAAAAAGTAGTACCTTCAGTTCAAAAAAGTAGTACCTTCAGTTCAAAAAAGTAGTACCTTCGGAGAAAAAGTAGTACCTTCGCGGGTGTTTAAAAAACATGGTACCTGGACACCAAAAAGTAGTACCTTCAGTTCAAAAAAGTAGTACCTTCGAAGAAAAAGTAGTACCTTCGCAGAAGGGTATTTTAGGCACCACAATTTCTAAACAGTAAAAAACCATGTGCCACCTCAGCAATCCATTTTAGAGAAATATGAAACTTTGACTCAGCCTCTAAGTAAATATAGAACTTTGACTCCATTTATATGTAATTTTCCCTAAATAAAATTTGACAAGTGTGTCAAAAAATAATATAATATTAAAAGTGATAAAAATAAAAGATAATGTTTGGATCTTGCCCTAAGAACAAGTTGTCATAATATGATATAATATTACAAAAAAAAAAAAAAAAAAAAAAAAAAAAAAAAAAATTTGACAAGTGTGGTTGAATAAATAAAATTTGACAAGTGTGTCAAGAAATAATATAATATTAAAAGTGATAAAAATAAAGGATAATGTTTGGATCTTGCCCTAAGAACAAGTTGTCATATTATGATATAATATTACAAAAAAAAAAAAAAAAAAAAAAAAAAAAAAAAAAAAAAAAAAAGAAGAAGAAGAAGAAGAAGAAAGAAGTATAGGGCAGCAATTTGGATCAACTCGTTATAAAACGGCCTTTTTTTTCCCTCAATAGTTAACACCTAGAGGCTCTAGGAAGAATAAATCAAACTCTTCCACTACCACCACCCTTCTCCTCCGTCACCAATGCTACCGTTTCCCAGTTCCCACCACTATATGGTTCGAACTCGACTACTTCGTCAGTGATCTAGGCACCTACATCCCCATAGTCTTGACCCTCACCCTCATCTCCAACCTCGATCTCAGCACCAACCCCATCTTCACTGCCCTGTATAAGCAACGAAGTTTATTGTCGTTGTCTTCGAAACCCCCCACCTCACCATCCCTTAGATTGCTGCCACCGGAATCTTCACTGCTACCTCTGTCCTCCTCGTCCTCGGCGTCACCGACCTCATTCTCTTCTTCTACCGCTTCATTCCCCTCCCCGTTGTCTGTGGCGTCCGGCTCTCTCAAGGCCTCTCTTTGCCTTCTCCACCCTAGAATGAAGAGCAACATGGTGTGTATTGAAATATATATTATATATTATATTCGTATTCGTTTTCCCTTCTTTCCTCCTTGATTTACTCATATTCATTTTCCCTTCTTTTCTCCTTGATTTAATCTATTATATATATGTATAATATATTATATATAGTATACATATATATTATATTCGTTTTCCCTTCTTTCCTTCCTTGATTTACTCATTGATTTATTCCTTTTGTCTGTAACTTTATTCCCTATATATTGTGTATTAATATAATGTAAACATATCAAGAAGTACAAGCAATAAGAAAATGTAGCATCAGTGGCTCTTGATCCATTGATGTAGGCCTTAGTGCCGAAGTTTGTGTTGTCTTCTCTGTGGCTCCATTTGGAGCTCTGCCCTTTTTTTTTCCCCTTTCCTTTATTGATTGCAGAGAGCAGTGAAAGAGAAGACTAGTAAAATCTGATCCCTTTTTTTTTTTTTTTGTTTGTTTTCTTTTTTCGATCAACCACGCGCTTCCAAGCGACGTCCCGCACCATCATGCGCTGATGCTCCTGCGAAGTAGATCTGACTCACGCTTCACGCGCCTACGTGACGTACACTTCTACAAATAGATCTCACTCATCCTACACGCGTGTAATACCCCTAATTTTAAAAGGATAGTCTCGGTATTTATTTATTTGTTTTAATTGTATTGTTAATTATTTAATTGATTATTTGACTAATTGCTTATGTGTTTAATTGAATTAGGTATTACTTGATTATTTGATTATGTGTCTATGTATTATTTGTATTTGTCTATGTGTTAATTGTTTAATTGGATTATGTACTTAAATGCTATTTTGATTAATTGTAAATTAAATGTTTTCTTTTCTTTTATTATTTTATTTTATTTTTCTTTTATGGTTATGGTTAGTAGTAATGGGCTAACTAATTAGATCACATGGATTACTTGGATAGGAGGTTGGATGTGTAATAACCCATGGATAATTGTGTATGTATATATATAGATATATATTATATACATATATAAAAAAGGAAAGTAATTTATTAATTACTTTTATGGTAACTTGGATAGCAATATTTAATCTGATGTATATGTTTTATATTTAAATAATAAAAATATACATAGATTTGCTACGTGTTATGTTTTAAGTTACTTTATAATATTATGGTAACTTAAGTATTATTGGATAATCCACTAATAAATAATGGAATGTGTATAATTTATTTATTTAATAAATATATACATAAATTATATACGTAACATATTTTACTTATCTTTTTAATATATATAAAAGGGAAAGTAATTTATTAATTACTTTTATGGTAACTTGGATAGTAATATTTAATCTGATGTATATGTTTTATATTTAAATAATAAAAATATACATAGATTTGATACGTGTTATGTTTTAAGTTACTTTATAATATTATGGTAATTTAAGTATTATTGGATAATCCATTAATAAATAATGGGATGTGTATAATTTATTTATTTAATAAAGATATACATAAATTATATACGTAACATATTTTACTTACCTTTTTAATATTTTAATATATATATTTTTTAAGTTGACTTGGATTGGGAAAATGGTTATGGTTATTTTATTTAGCCTATAAATATATAGTTATAGGTTATAAAATGGGGTTACAAATATTCACGTGATATATTTTAGAGAGAGAGAGTTAGAGAGGGAAGGAGAAAAATGAAGGAAGGAGGAAAAAAACCCTGTAGAGAGAAGATCAATGAAGAAGAAGTTTAACTTTCGATCCGAAAGTTTAAGGCAAGTTCTTCTTCTATCTCTTTCCCTTTAATTCGTATTTCTATGCATGCCTAAGAAATTGCAGGATTTATTAAACACATAAAATTAAATAATTATGCATGTTTAATTGGATTAGAACATAGGTTTTATGAAATTGGTTCATATTTGTTCTTGTGTTATGAATTGATAAATGCATGATTTTGATTTGATTTTCGGTGTGAATTTTTATATGTTTACTTTAAGTATTTTTTATATCTGTGGAATGATGGAACGTAGAAACATGCCTAGGATTCCTGAACATTAAATAAGAACTAGGGTTGGGTTTAAATAAATTTAAATAGACTCAATCATAATGATGCTTGCTATTTGAATGTTTTAAACAAACGAATGGATTTAATCTTTTAAAATGTTTTAGTAATTAAGATTAAATGTGTAAGATGAATTGGATATGGAGAATACTTATTTGACGGTATAATAAAATATCATCATATATAAGATTCAGTTTGTGTGGAACATATGATATAGCAAGCTTAAATAAATAATAAGTCATTCCTATTTTATGATAACTTGATATCATATTATCATAGTTATTTCTGGATTGTTTGATGTATTTCCTTAATCGTTACATCACTTGTTGGATTGTGTGGTTTAATGCACCGGTATGGGACGGTGGCATTTTAGGGACGGATTAACTTATCAGTTAAGTCCTACCTATTTTATATAAGGGAATGGATTAACTAAAATGTTAAGTCCTACTTATATTCAAGTCAGGTCAGCTGAACAAGTTGAATGACTTATGGAGGATTAATTTATTATATAAGGGAATGGATTAACTAAAATGTTAAGTCCTACTTATATTCAAGTCAGGTCAGCTGAACAAGTTGAATGACTTATGGATGATTAATTTATACTGGATAGGATGGTTACTAGATTATATATATATAAGTATAGTGCCATGATATGAGCTTGAGTCTCAGGATCAGTGGTTAGGGCGCGTATATCGCCAGGGATGTGTAGCTAGATATAGTGTAGTTGTGTACCCTGGTAGGTCTAGGTACTCATGCCCACTATATGTGCGTTTTGCGTGTTGCCTACTATTCAGGTTGAGATAACCCTATAGTCTAGTGAGGTTCCTTTAGTGTGTGTATATATATATATATACGGACTACTAGTTATTGTTGGATTGACTAGGATGTATACGTGTATCGGATCTTTGTTTGGACTGTAATAAAGTAAAACTTGTTTGTGGGCCTGACCCACCATTATTTTTCAGGTGTTCGTCAGGAGTAGAGGTTATTCGTGCTGAGCGAGGATCAGTCTACTTCATTCTTCCGATGCTACATAGGAGTTCCTTTATGATTTAGTTTTCTGATTTAGACAGTTATTGCTGTCATTTGTTTAGTTTGGATTTTCTAGGGGTCCACACAGTATGGATTCCCGAGTTGTATTTTGGAGGATCAGTTATATCAGAAGAGTTTATTAACTAATGGAAATATATTCTGAGGTTTATTATTAGATTATCATTTTAGTTTCTTGTTAGCATTTTATTTATTCTTCTTTATTCTTTTGTACTTTGTGTTCGTTTATTATCAATTTGTTTTGATACCCTCGGGTATTCGGGCGTGGGCCTGGCTAACCCGCATTCGGAAATCCGGGGGTATCACAACCCGCCCACAGGCTCCTTTGTTCCGCTTCCACAGTCGCCAGAGAGCCGACTATTCCTCGGCGTTGTTTCGACCATTTCCCGGCGTTGTTCCGGCATTACCCAGTGTTGTTTCGACCTTTCGGATGCTTTTCGTTCCACCATCATTTTCGACTATTTCCCGGCGTTGTTCCGACCAT